TCCTGCACACGTGGCCCAGGAAGGGGGAAAGGCCAGGAGTTCACATCCCTAGAGCGAAAAAGCCTTCGCCCGCTTGGTGCCCACTGAGTGTGCAAAGCGCGCCCCGTCCTGCAAAGGTTTCCAGCACTTTACACAAAGCAAACCTGAGATTAGAGGCTCTAATGAGGCTGTTCGCAACTGCCTCTTGCATGCAAAATCTCCCAAGGAAACCACTGGCTCAGAAAGGAGCAAATCTGTTTCTACTTCCTTTCCTTCCATCATTCCACGGATTTCATAAAGGGCTTATTCCAGTTATTACCGTCTCACCCCTCAGTCAAAATACAGCTAAAACTCACATGGGGATGGCGAAAACTGAAAATTAATTAAATGTTTACCCATTATCGTCACTTATGCAATGATAAGAGAAACTAGGTCCTATCAATGGGGGTAGGCTGGCAGAGTCACTTGATTTGAGAAAGAGGCAGTGCAAAATAAATTAATGATCCAAAAGATAATTATGGATTGCTTAACAGATGAACAATCACACACAAAAAAAAACCCAAACATTTCCTGAGCGTTAATAGATTCAATAAGAAAAACTTTGGCTGCTAGAATAGGGAATTCCCTTTTTTTTCCTACATATATTTCATGGTTTGGGAGGATATCCAGAGCATGCAAAGATAAAAAATTGCCATGGGAAGGAAAGTTATCAAGTTTTGGTATTCTCTTAAATCTCTCAAGACAATCCTATACTAAGTGTTTACAATTATGATTTTCTAAAAGGGTAGACACACTTCCAGGCAAATTTATAAACTTCAGGCATAGACCAATTTCCATTTTCTGTGCGGTCACACAAAACGTAAGGCTATTTTGGGGGAATAAAGGAATGAGCCTAGAGACAGAGGCTGAACCTTTGCAGATTTAACATCCCTTTTTCCATGTTTAACATTTTTTAAATATTTATTTCTGTATAATTGTTTCCCATTTTACCGAAGAAAAGTCTTAGGATAACCCAAGAATTTTTAAAGTAAGCAGCAGATGAATCCACATTCTGGGTAAACAGAACTGCTTACAACGTTATGAATTTTGTATCTGTTTAATTCCGAAGAAGTGTTTCAATATCAATGTATTAAATTTAAATAAATATAATTATATATTAAAACCAATATCAATGGCAGCAGTGTTCCAAAATCTAAGAAGAGTGGGTCAAGCTATTCTCCAAAGCATCGGAAGACAATGGATAGAAACTAACCAAGGAGAGAAGCAACTTAGAACTAAGGGAGAAATTTTCTGTCAGTGAGAACAATTAAACAGCGGAACAACTTGCCTCCAGAAGTTGTAAATGCTCCAACACTGGAAGTTTTAAAGAAGAGATTGGATAACCATTTGTCTGAAATGGTATTAGGTTTCCTGCCTAAGCAGGGGGTTGGACTAGAAGACCTCCAAGGTCCCTTCCAACTCTGTTAATATGTTATATCATTTTGAAAACATTTACTTCAAAAACTTTCAAGCTAATTAAAACACATTAAAAGTTAAAGTAGTATTGAGAAAATCTTTTTAAAAGAATTAAAATGGAGAAGGAAATCTTGATGAACAGAAGTTGCCTTCAGAAGTTGTGGAAGTGTCAACATTGGAGGCCTTCAAGAAGAGACTGAACTGCCACCTGTCAGAAATGGTGTAGGGTCTCCTGCTTGGGGGGCGGGGAAGGGGGCAGTCAGACTAGATGACCTACAAGGTCCCTTCCAACTCTGTTAATCTGTTTGTTAATCAACAGAGGTGTCCTAACAAACAATCTTCATGGGGACAAGATTGAAGGTCTCCTGGCTAGACAATCCAAGGAGAGTGAAAACTCCTCTTTTTTATTTTATGACTTACAGGGCTTTGATTAATATTGGTGTTGACATTCACGTATCACTTTTTATCTAAAAGCAATCTATGTTTTCAAAATGACACAATTCAGTTAGTTAAAATAACTAATGTGAATTATAACCTAGTCCCACTATGCTAAAAAATATGATTGCCTGTGAGGTTTTTAAAAATGCTACATACGCAGGAGTAAAAATGTTTTGCGGTGCCTGAACGTAGAGCCAATACCTAAACCTCAAACCAGTGAGGGAAATGCGCAGATTGGCTGAGGCTGATGGACTTTGTAGTCTAGCCTGTGAAAGATGATGCCAAATGAAGGAATAATTGCTCAGTTCGTTGCTTCCTCCATAGCCTCTCAACTACTCTCCAAAACATTCTCCCAGCTCTCTTTTATTTTTCCTTTGTTGACTTTATGATTCATTACAAAAAAGAAGAAAAAAAAAGCAAAGAGAAAAAAAATGGGAGGAAGGAAGAAAGAGAGCAAGTGCCAGCAATGTTTCCCCAGCTCGGTGTTTCCTAACTAAAGATAGTTATTGATGTACAACGCCGGCCTTTTACTGTGGCAGCAGAATCAATAAAGGAGGAAATACTGCTTTGTCAAGAGTAGCCCAAGTCCTGTGTAGGCTTGCTGGGAAATTCTTTACTGGCGCTGGGATGGGCCCCGAAGTGGATGCTTAAAAAAATCCTTCTAGATATACCCAATGATCTAGCATGGCTACCATGGACTGAGACCTGACTGCCCTCTAGTGGCAGCAACACACAACGACAAAAGCCAGGATATATTTATTTTCTCCTTCCCTAATTCTTCTTTTCTGTTTTGTAAGAGTACAAGTAGAGTAGAGTAGAGTAGAGTAGAGTAGAGTAGA